CAAATCTACCCCAGCTCCGTCATGTCTGGGGTGCTTTTTCTGAGCTGCAAGAGGGTGAGAGGCAGGCCTCCAATACATGGCACAGTCTCCTGCGGAGCTTTTAAAACACACCAACTCTCATTCCTTGCCCCTAGTATCTCTGGTGTATTGGTCTGGGGTGGCACCCAGGCATCCGTACCTTTCAAACTCCCCAGTGATTCTGACGGGAGCCGGGGTTCAGAACCACTCGTGTTGTTTTGAGAGGATAGCACTGCAGCACCAGCCATGTGACCTTGAACATGTGATGTAGCAGTTGGTGCCTCAGTTTCCCCATTTGTGAAATATGGACAGCTACAGTTACTGGGAGGATGCAATGAGATAACAGCATAAGGACTCACACGGCGGCCGACATGACACACGCGTGGATGTTCTAGCTCCTCTGGACAGCTATTACTATTTCTTCCTTTCTCACCCCAGCCACGGGGAGATTATAGGGCTGAAAGTGCCAGGGCGAAAGTCAAAGGGCAGAGAGAGGGCCCCTTTGAGGACCACAGCGTTAGAGGCGACGTAGGAGGCTCTGCTCTGATGGGAGGCAGGTTGGAAGGTGTTCGTCCCTCTGCAGCTCAGGAAGCCCACACCCCTTAGCATGGACACTGAGCCTCTCCCGGCCCTCGGCTCTTGGAGTGCTAAGAACACCTTGTGGGGGTGGCTACATCTGGCTTCCCCACCTCCGCAAGCTGAGACCTGCTCAGCTGGGTGTAGGTCATGTTCAGTAGCCCACAGCGCTTGACGCAGACCTGACAGGAGCGCTATGCCCTGCTCTGAGCTGGGCATTAACTGGTTGCAACGGCCACAGTAGCTACCGCTTCCTGAATGCCCACTGGGTGCTGGGCATCTTGCTTGGGGTTTACAAAATCGCACCAGTGTTGCCATGGCTCCTTCTGGCAGGTGATGCTGTCAGCCAAGCTGGTAAGGGTGAGAGATAAGTCTGTGCAGCCCCCAAACCCACTGAACTCTATGGTCTCTGTCTGCCATTGAGCGGCCCTGAACACTGAATTGGGGTACAGAGCTGTGTGAGCAATATTGTCCCAAAGGCCACAGCTTCCTTTGCTGAGCAAGTCCCTGGTTGCAGACCAGGGTGGAGCACTTAGGCGGGTGTTTTTCCCTGAAGATGGGTTTTTCTTTTTCATAGAACTTCAGGGTGGAGAAAGTCACTGGAAATATCCCGTCTACTCTCCAGCCTTAGTGATCCAAGATTACATTCTGGATAGTTCCGAGTGGAACCTGACTTATGGCCTTAACAAATGTGCTGCACAAATAAATAAAAGAAGTGTTGCTCACCTAGTGTTGTCAGAACCAAAGGTGGCTTGCTCAGCAGACTGTGTTTGAACTTGCCCAAGGTACTGAGACAGATCGCTCAGTTACTTACAGACATTTGTTGTGTGTGTGTTTGGGCGGGGGGTTCCTCTGGGTGCTGATGACATGGTGGGCCACAAGTTTTGCTTTCATTGAGCTCAGAGTCCAGTGACAGGAGATAGACCCTAAATAAGTAAACTAATAAATAAATACCTGCGGGTGAAGAGCCAAGAGAGCATGTCACTGGGGGCAACTTTAGACCCAACATTGAGGGATAGCTCCCTGGGGAGATGACATTTCAGCTGAGACCTGAATGAGCAGAGGGAGGCAGTCATGCACAGGTGTAGGCATCACTGTACCAAACAGAGGGAATAGCTGATGCAATGGCCAGGGAAGAGGCGGCAGTGGGGGACAGATGGGACTGGGGCTGGTGAAGGGCAGAGCAGGAGGCCATGGTCCAGGTGACCCAAAGCCCAGTCATGTTTGGACTGCTTGGGACTAGGGTCAGCCCCAGTGAGGTCTGCATGATGAGCAGGACATGGCCCCATCAACCCTACCATGGCAGGAGTGGCACTGTGCTTCTGGCTGGTCTGTCCTGTGGGGAGTGTGATCCTTGTCATTGCCAAGGGTCATAGGGACAGTGACCAGCTCCCAGGGGAAGCAGGGGGTCTGGCGAGGCTGGCCTGCAGCTAGGGAAGGCTGGGGAGGAAAGGCCTGGCTGAATAAGTGAGTGTGTTTTGGGGGGAAACTGGTCTAAATCCAAGTCACCCATGAGTGGCTCGAGAGCTCCTTGGAGGTACCCTGCCACCATGTGAAGGGCCTTCGAGTCACATGGGAGGAGCTATTCCCTTCCACACCCATCTCTCTGATGACCACAAGGACAATGCCCACTTGCTGTTGGTTTGCCCTTGCTGTCCCCTGAATTTTTGCTAATCTTTTTATACAAAGAGCAATTGGGCTGGGTTCACAGGCAGTGTCCCCCGGAATGCAATAGTGCTGCTTTTTCCAGTGCCCCATCCCGGTCACCTTGTGTTTGCGGCCTACTGGCTTTCTTTTTGCTATTGTAATATTTCTCCTTTAAGACATTTAAAACATTATATATATTTTTTGCTTTTGCTAACAGCTTATAAAGCTTCCCTTTGAAAAAAAAATTATGTTGGTCAAAAGAATGAAATCATACTGGAGGTGGTAAAGGGGAGGTGGCAAAAATCACAGAGTCCGTTAAGTGAGTGACTCAAGTTTGGGAAGCATGGAACGAAGTGAGGTCCCCTCCCCAATGCCATGATACTCTTTTCCCCAGGAAAACATTTCTTTCTGTTCTTACCTCTCCCTCAGCCCCACAATATCTGACCCAGGAGCGAGTGTCAACAGTGCTGCTCTGAAGCCGGCACAAGAAGGCGGGGCTGCGGGTAAGGTCTGAACACCTTGGGAACGGCCCCTTTCTCCTCTCCACCGGGAGGCGTCTGGTTTTCAGCCCAACTTGGATTCTCTGCCCTAGTTGACTATTCAGATCAGATTCCAGCAACAGTATAATGATAAGGCCAATTCTCATATAAAAAACTATTTTTTAAAAGTTATTAAGTGTCTGTGTTATGATAAGGATGCAGACCATAGCATTTATTTTTTTATTTTTTATTTTTTAAGATTCCTTATTGGGGGGGAGGAGATTTGTTTCTGTGCGAAGGGTGAAAAGGATAACTACTGCAATGTTCTGTACACCTGAAACTTACAATAAAAAAAATGTATTGGGGAATTGGGGGAGGGGAACAGACAAGTTGTTGTCCTTTTGTTCTTCAGTCTAGTTGTGAAGGACATTGCTTCACTGGCCCATGTTGGTATTATCATTGCGCTCTTCCCGGGTGAGGCAGATTGGTCTCTGGCCACAGGATGGCCGCTCACACTGGCTGCCAGTCCCTCAAGCTGGCTGCTGGCCACACAAGGTAGCTTATGGCAGCCCACTGCAGCAGGGGCTGCAGCCTATGCCATCGTCGGAGATATGGCATCCCAGCTCCAGGTTGAGCTGTTGTTCAGCATCTTAGCTGTAGAGGGCAGTGTCACTGGCCCTCATGTGGGATCCAAACCGGGGCCCTGCTGCACAGAGCTGGCGTCCCAAGCCAGCTCTTAACCAACGCACCACTCGGCCGGCCCCAGACCATAGCATTTAGCCAAGACTGTTAAATTAAGCTCTTGATCCTGTATTTATTTAGGTATATGCCACCTTGTTGCAAAAAAGGTATTGTGGCAATGTACAAAAATAGATAAAATACAATAGACTGAAAATAGAGATCAGAATAAAGATAAAAGCAGAAAGCTAGAATGAAGCCCGAGTCCTGTAGGAGACTCAGTACAACTGTTAAAAAATAATCTCAAATTTGACTTTGAGCTTCCCAGAGGCCAAAGCAAAACAGAAAACATAACTGGTTACAAGCTTCCTAACAACAATTAGTTTAGGGCTTTGGTATAAATCCAATTGTCTTAGAATTGTCTTTTCTCTTTATATACTCAACTTTGTTCCAAATGTGACTGGAAGCAGTAACTCCTTGGCTTGGCATTAAAGGCTCTTACCAAGAGGACCCCAACCTCCTTCTTGGGTCTCCTATGTGGATACAGTTTGTGGCATGGCCACACTGTATAAAAGCAACAGCCACCATTTCTGGAACTGCCACTAGAGTGGCATGCCGTTGGTACTGACCAGTCCTGAAACCCCGACTCTACCACAGACTAAGCTGCTCTGTGACCTTGGATAAATCCCTTTACCGCAGTTTCCTCATCTATAAAATAGGGACATTCGGAGCATATACCTCCCATTGTTGTGAAGAGGCAAGCATGTGCACAGGGCATGCTTAGCACACTGTTGATGCTCAGTCAGTGATACGGTTACATTACCTGATTTTCAAACCTGGCCCTCCACTTACCTGCCTACATGACAAATGCCTTAACTTCTTTGCGCTACAGTTTGACTATCTGTAAACTAAGGAAAGTAACTACCTACCACATAACCCACATACAAGGGCCTGAAGACAGAAGGGGCTTAGTGTTTGGAGGCTGCAGCCAGCATCATCTACCCCAGGAAACAATTGTGCTTGTCCTTTTTCAAAATCGGTCCATTCTATATTCCCCATTTTTCAGACTAATGGAGAATGAGGAGGCTGACCATGTCTCACTCACATGGTTGGGCTGTGATATCATGAAAGACACAGTCTTGTAATACCCACACCCAGGGTCAAGGGAAACGCAGCCCCCGGAAGAGCCGGTGGCTGGGTGGGTGGGGGAGGCTGGATGTGTCCACCACTATGAGTCAGACTTTGCTTGGTTGGGCGTCATCATTCCCCTTTATTTCAGGGGTGAGTTACAGCTTAAACAAAACATCACCTGACAATACAAAAATCACCTGACAAGACAAAGAAATGTATTCTGCATGAAATGCATTTCCTTATGCTCTCAGTATGCAGCTAAATTTCCTAACATGGCAGCTGGGTGTTCAAATATACAGATATCCGGGAGCTGGCATGAGGACCGAGTGAGGGGAGCAGGGTCTGGGGGTTGTGTAGGGATCAGCAGTAAATACCCTTAAGAGGTGTTGGGATGGTTTGGGTGCTGGGGAGTCTATTGTCTTCCCAGGCAGAGCTGCCGCTAAGCCAGGCGAGTAGAGGATATAGACAAAGCCCTTCTGAAAGAAGAGCGGCTGTGTCATGTTCCCAGAATGCCCCAAGCCACTTTCTAAACCTTTCTGGACCTATTTCTCCTTTGGTGAAACAGAGTTGGACTGGAGAACTTCTTCCCAGCTGTAAAAATACTGTCCGGAGCAGATGAGGGGCAGGCTTGAAGGTCTTGTTCTCTGGGCTGCCTGAGTCTTGAGACTCGGGGGAGCCATCAGCAGCACAGCTGAGGTGGCCCACCTGTGCAGCCTCAGCCCCAAGCCCTGGGCTCGGGCAGCCCTGGCATGAACATCTCTGAAACCAGGAAAAGCCCTCTGGCTCTTTCCTACAACCAGAAGGTCTGATGCCTCCCCTGGACCCGACCGCTCTGATCTTGGCCTTCCTTGGCCTGCCAGGCTGCTGGGCCATCCCACCAAATGATCAGGTCAGGAACTGACAAGGAAGAGGGAACCTATTTCATCCTGGCCCCACCTGGGCCTTGGGCCTAGGGTCTTGCTCATGGCAGACCTGGAGGAATCCCTGAGTACATATAGGTTGTGGGTTCAAAGAGAAAGGACAGGGTGGACCCCAGGCCCAAAGGCTCTGGGAGAGACTGGGGAGGAGTCCCACAGCCTGGGTATGTGCCCAAAGCCAGCACTTCTGGGTGGAGAGGGAGCTTCGGGGCCAGGCCCAGCTCCCCACCCTGGTAAAGTCGCTGTTGGCAGGCAGCTGCCTGCAGCCTTCTCAGCTGCTGCTGCAGAAACAAATGACGGCCCTAATGATGAAGAGAAAAAAATGAGTACAGAGGGAGGGGGAACTTGGAATGGGAGCCGGTATTTTTTCTCGGGGTGTGGTTTCTGCTCAGTGACTGGGTGACCGTGGAGGTTTGGAATGTGGTTGGACAGCGGGTAGGGTATGGTGGGAGGGCTGGCCAAAGGCAAGGAGCAAGGACATTAGCCAAGGGGCCCGAAGCCCAGGGCCACCAACAGCTCAGCTAGAACGGGGCCTGTGGTGCAACACAGAGCCTGGCCTCCACCCAACACTGGTCCCCAAGGCCTCTGGTTTTGAGTAGCCCCGGGAAGGGAAACCCACTGGAGAGAACAAGAGAAACTAGGGAGAGAAGAGAGGGCTGGAGGTAGAGGACAGTGTGGTCAAGTCTCCTGATCTGTAAAATGGGGCTGTTGTGACAGCATGGCCTGCCTGATCCAAAGGGAGGCTATTTAAGCAAGGGACGTTGTCTCTCGGAGCCTCAGTGTGCCCATATGTTAAATGAGCTCACCTATCTCTACCTTTAAGGGTGTTGTCAGGAGGATGAAGAGGGTCAGTGCATGTGAAGCTCTTGGCACACTGCTCTGCGAGTGAAAGGGCGATTATTCCACTGATTATTCCACTAAGGAAGCTTTACACCGGCTACGCCACGCGCCTAGCACCTGGCCCCAGGCCTGGCCCCAATAAATATCTGCTGATGCAGCCCCTGTGGGAAGCCCTGTGCCCACTGCCACTCCTGTCCTATGACAGTGTCCCACTCAGACCACAAAGTGCAGGGTGTAGGTGAGCTGGTGGCCATTGTCCCAGGCGTACAGCACCCGCTCCTTGGGGTTGTAGTCGATCTGTGTGGTGTAGGCGTGCTCGTTGAGGAAGGGCAGCTGCGGGCGGGCGTCGGTACCCGTGTGCGTGTCGAAGGCATAGGCCACCTGGCCTTCCCGCTGGTTGTACGTGTCCACGGCGTACAGGATGCCGCACACCAGGAAGCAGTTCCCGTAGGAGTTCCGCCGCAGCCGTGTCTTCCATGTGGTCTCGCGGTGCACGGAGAGGTCGCCGGGGTCCAGGCGGCTCAGCACAATCACCTCGGGCTGAGCCCCGTCACGATCATCCACAGCAGGGTAGATGACCCACAGGCCGCTCTCATCCACGGCGAAGTCGATGTCCGAGTGGCCGCGCCACTTCCAGGGCGTGGTGTCCTCATACACTGCGTCGGGCAGCAGCGCCCAGGAGGCCACAAAGCGCTGGCGCAGGTCGTACTTTATGATGTTCTTGGTGAAGGCGCGGTTGTAGTAGAAGGCGCCCTGGTACACCACGTGGCCCGTGCCGATCCAGTTGTAGGGCAGCTTGTACATGTTACTCCAGCGGCCTGTGTATGGAGGGTGGCTGGTTACACCACTGCCTCGCCCATGACACCTAGCCCACCCAGAGACCAGCGAGGCCACCCAGGGCTCTGAGTGGTCCAGCAAGCCATGGATACTGAGTGTACTATGGGCCTGGAGCTGGGCCAATCATCTTATCCCATCAGACAGACCTGTGAAGGAGGGACTTGATTATCCCATCTGTAAAACGGGGCTGTTGTGACAGCATGGCCTGCCTGATCCAAACTGAGGCTATTTAGGCAAGGGACGTTGGTTGTCTCTCTGAGCCTCAGTGTGCCCATATGTTAAATGGGCTTAACTATTTACCTGCAAGGGAGCTTTTGGGAGGATGAGGTGGGTCAGTGCACGTGAAGCAATTGACACAGTGTTCTGCAATTAAAGGATGAGTGTCCCACTGGGTGCTAAGGAAACTTTACACCGGTTACGCCACGCGCCTAGCACCTGGCCCCAGGCGGAGGAGGAAACAGGCTCAGAGGGTTCCAGGTCACCCAGTGACGGAACGGCACAGCCAGGATTTAGAAACAGGTGGACCCCAGCCCCTGTGCTTTCTCTTATGCTGTTCCTTCAGTCTGTACTGCCATCCCCCATCTTATCTGCCTAGGGAATGCCTCCTTATCTTTCAGAACCCTCAGCCAATGTGACCTCCTCCAGGAAGCCTTCTCTGACCTCCCCAGCTTGAGTGAGGGCCTCTCCTTTGGCTGCTCATAACCCTTTGTCCTGGCACTTCTCTCTGGCTTTCTCTACGCCAGCCTGTGAACGCCTGGAGGCAGGGACCAGGTCCATGTGATCTGGCAGAGGAAGGCTTTAGCTGTTCCACCTGTGACTCCACAGTTCTCAGGGTAACTCCAAACTCTTTCATGTGGCTCATAAGGCCTGCCTCAGCCTATTCTCTCCTTCTGCTCCCCCCACCTCCCTTCTGTGCCACCGTGTTTCCTCTCGTTGCCAGGCCTTTGCACACACTGGTACTTCTGCCTGAAACACGTTTCCCTCTCTCTTCTGCATGCGCCCTCTTCCTCCAGGGCTCAGCTCAGCATCACCTTCTCTGGGAAGTCTTCCCCAATCTCCAGGCTGAGTTCCCACAGCCCCCTAAGCTCTCCCTCTAACACTATATTGAAATTGTTTCTTTAAGTTTCTGCCTCCCACATAAGACCTAGTGTTTCTGGAGGGTGGTTCATGTCTAAATGATCCCCCCCCCCCACGCCCCAGATCTGATAGTCGAAATTCTATTCTTCCCTGCCCAGACCTGCAGCTCCTGTAAGGCCCGGGGCCACGCTCACCTGTAAAACAGGGTGATAACCCTCACCTCCTGGAATTATGAAGATAACGTGAGCTGACTCACACAGGGTAATTAGCACATAATACGCACCAGGGGGAAACTCTTAGCATCGTTTCCCTTGACAGTAAGTTATACTCAGGAGGGCAGGACTGCATCTATCTTGTTTGCTGGGGTATTCCAGCTCCTGGCACAGTGCAAGCACATAGGGGGTGCCCCCAGACTCCCCCTCTTGGGGTGCTTGACCATTCGGAGCTAGGCTAGGCTGAGGAAGAGTGGACCACGGGAAACTACAAGGCAAGGAGGGCCAAGTCTCCATGGGGGACGTTCCCTGGGCCACCCACCCTGCCCCATTCTCATCTCCAAGGTCCCTGACCTTGCTTGAAGTTTTCCAGGTTGCGGAATTCCACCAGGCTGTTTCCATAGTAGTAGTTAGTGACGTAGATCCTGTCATCCCGTGCGGTAGGGTCCTTCATCCAGGCTCCCTCATGGCGCCCATAGCTATGGTGCCTCACAGGGGGGTCCACGGCCCGGAGGGTGCCCTCGCAGCTGGCCCCTCTGCCTGTGGGGAGTGAGGGGTGCAGCATTTAGTACCCAGACCCACAGGCCTGGAAACGCCATCGGGGGCTAACTTAAACCCCTCCCGATGTTTTGCTTGCAACCTTTTGTTTTTTTCTTCCCTCATGATCAAAGCAATGTCTGATCATTGTAAAAAAACACACAACATTCAGAAAAGGAGCGGGAAGAAAATAAAAAGCATTCAAAATACCATTATCCAAAGAAATTTTTTAACATGTTGTAGTTCCTTCCTTTTCTTTTTTTCTTTGCGTGCACAGTCATGCAGACATACTTTTAAAAACCCTGGTTCTTCTGAATATAGTTTTATGTATCCCATTTTTCCCCTCCACTGAGCAATTTCTCATACCATTAAATGGCCTTTTAATGATGTGATTTCAAGTTTCCACAAGGCCACCAGACAGCTGTGCCCTGAATTGATTTAACCAGTCTCCTCACCGTTAGACCTTTAGATTATTTCCAGTTTTCTGACATTAGAAATAGGCTGCAGCTGTTGTCCACATGGCTGATGGATCCTAAGGAAAGATTCCTAGAAATGGAGTGAGTTTGGACCAAAGCAGGGGATAGTTGTACAGCTTGCACTCACGGGAAGCCAACATGCCCTTCAGCAGGATGGGCTCGCGGATTTGTACCGACAGGCACAAGCCAAAACCACAAATGTGGACATAAAAACAGGGCCAGAGACTGGGCAGAGGAAGTAAAGAAGTGAAAATAGTTGTTGGTTTTGATGATGGAGCTCTGGGTGACTTTTTAAGAAGAATTTGTTGAAAATACTACCTGTCACGCTGTAAATGTCATCAAACTCTTTCTGTAACCGATCAGACAGTAAACAGACCATATACCTTTACTCCAAATTCTTTTTTTTCTTTCTTTTTTTTTTTACAACCCTTTAAAAATGTAAAACCATCTTGAGGGCTGTACAAAAACAGCCTGCAGGCTAGATTTGGTCAACAGTCTGTAAAATGGGGCTGTTGTGACGGCAGGGCCTGCCTGATCCAAACTGAGGCTATTTAGGCAAGGGTCGTTATCTCCTTGTGAGACTTACTCACCTTGGCTGGGGACTTCTGGGCGTGAAGGTGGCTCAGTGGGCAGGGCACTGGTGGTGGCGGTGGGGGTGGGGGTGGTGGCTGGGTTTGAGGAGGTGGTGCCAGGGGCTAAGTCTGCTCCCTCTGAGGCCCTGGGCCCATCCTCCTCGTGCTCCGGCTCCGCCGAGTTGGGCTCAGGTGGCCTGCCCTCCGCTCTGGGCGGCAGCTGTTCCAGCCAGGAAGTGCCCTTGAGGGTGTTGTCTGTAGAGAGAAGACCCTGAGCTCACATCCCATGAACACCTGTTTCTCCCAGGCCCACTGGACTCCCAGCTCTGGGGCCCTGAGGCCCTGGGGAGTGAAAAGTCTGGAAAAGTGGGCTTCAGGTCAAGCAAACCAACTCTGAGTCCCCTGGCTGAGTGGCCTCGGCCAAATCCCCGGCCCCAGTGGGCCTCAGCTCCCCCTTCTGTGAAATGAGTCATGAGGCCCACTGCATTAGGCTGTGTTGATTAAAAGAAAATATATAAAAACATTTGCAGATTCTGGCAAATACGAGGTGCCAAATATGAGACCCCTTTCCCTCCTAAGTGTCAAACACCTTGTATCAACTCTTTCATTTCTTAGATTCAATCCCAGCATTCAGAAACCCTTCTCCCATTTTACAGACTTTCTCCTCTTCCTCTCCCCTGAAACCCAACCCTTAGTTTCTCTCACCCAGTATTTGACACTTGAAGTAGGGAGGAGCAAGTGCAGCCAGCATCCTCGTTACCTCCGGACCCCAGGCCTCTGTTTCTCTGCCCCTCACTCCCACCTCTCAGCTTTTGTGGCACCCCCACCCCCCACCTCCTGCTTCCCCCGCCCTGCGGGCACAGGCTTTGCTGACAGGACTTGGTCGGCATCCACAGGGCCAGGTTTGAGGCCATCTGGGTCATCCCCGACCCATAAGCTTCTCTGGGCTGAGCTGGATGGGGTCTGGGTAGGCAAAGCAGAAAGACTCAGTGCCACACAGCAGGGGACAAAGACGCCTCAGTTCCAGGGACAGAGCCTTGAAGGGGTCTAAGGCAGGCTCTGCAGCCTGCTGACCAGAGTTCTAGTCCTGCCTACTCTCTGTGAAACCTGGAACCCGTCACTTCACCTTTCTGAGCTTGTTGCTTCACCTGGATCAAGTGCAGTGCCATGTGAAAGCACTCAGAAAGCTGTGATGGGGTGTGTGGGGGGGTGTGGGAAGGAATGCTGCTGTTGCTACTGTGATGGAGTGGCCCCCAGGGGGTACACTGAGGCCCTATGACTCCAGGACAATGACCTGATTTCTTCCTGTTCTCTTCCTGCTGTGGGCCAGCCCCTGGAGTCTCTCAGGGATGGGGGCACACCCTCTGGTCAGGGGGGGCCTGGCTTCAGCAGCCTGCCAGAACAGGGGGCTTGTTCCCACAGGTCTCGTTGGCAGAGTCAGATGCCTGCAGCTGTTCTTGGGCAGTGTCCCAGCCAGGGGTCAGAGGCTCTGTGCCGTGGTCAGGCTGAGCTGGCAGGACTCAGGGCCAGAAGCTGGCACCAAGGGCTGGGGGAGGAGGCCCCTGAGCTCTGAAGCTAAGAATTGAGGGGGCTCTGGAAGGAGACAGGTCCCTCACAGCCCCACCTCACAGCCCCCTTGGACATGGGCTGGGCAGAGGCCTCACAGGAAGAGGTAGTCAGCAGGACCCAGAAGGGGGAGTAGGCTTGGGACACTTCTCAGGGACACTGGTGGAGAGCGGGCATCTGGGGAGGGTCTCAGAGGAAGAATCGGGAGCCACACTATCGGGGTTGGCCCAGAAATTCGGGTACTCTTGGAACTTTGTCTCCTGTTTCTCAGTTAATTACTTTGTTGCCCTCCACTGTGACCCAGGAGGGGGCTGCAGGAAAAATATAGGTGTCCATGGGGTTTTCTGGGGGGAGATAAGAAGTGGGAGGCGCTGGAGAGGTCATCCACTCCCAGGCCAGTCTGGAAATGTGAGGTGCAAAGGCCCCACGTCACTTCCGGCAACCCTGGCCTGGCCGCAGCCTGTGCTCTCCCTCCCGACCTGTGGCAGCTGCCTGGTCAGGAGTAAGGTTTTCCCCACGCGATTGTGAGCTCTGGGTCCGGCAGAATCTCTGGGAGGTACATCAGGTACACAGTGGACCTTCAGCAAATCTTTGAATGAAGGAGGAAAAGTTCCCCGAGGGTGGCGATGGCTGTGAACACTGGAAAGGACCTGAATGGCCCATTGTGTTGATTATGTCATTTCATCCCCAACAATCCCACAAGGGAGTATTAGCCCACTGTGTGCATGACCAGTGGAGTGAAATCTGGGGCTCTCTGACTAGAGAGAAGATCTCGGTCCCCTGGGGGGGATCCTTAGGGTGTGGCCATCCATCAGCAAGCCCCCACTCCCCAGGGTTCCAATCCCTCCCCCACTCACCAGCCTCGGTGGCCTCCTTCCGGCCTGCCTTGTAGTAGGTGATGCCTCGGATCACTGCCTGCTGCTGGGCCAGGGCCCGGGGCTTGGCTGTGGGCTGGGGGAATCGGCCCTGGCCGCCCTCCTTTCTCACCTTCTCCGCCTTCAGCAGCTTCTCCTTAGGAGCTTTTGGGAGGGCCCTGTCTACAAAGCTCTTCTGCACGCTGCCATATTTGTTACTGTCTTTGCCTTTCCCTCCAGCTGTGTCCTGAGAGAAAAGGGAAGTCTCAGACTTGGGAGCTGGTTAGAAGGGATGTCGTCGGGGGTCATGGAGGCTCAGCATGTGGGGGCTGGAAGGGGTCATGCTGCTCCAAGCCCTACATCCCAGGTGCTCATGAGGTCACAGCTTTCGTCCCACAGTGGCTACATCCGTGGCCGGGGTGTGCCTCGTTTCCCCACTTGGCTTTCTAGCTCCCTTGCCGGCTTAAAGGCCGCCTGATTAGTTAGGTTCTTGGCCCATATCCTAACTGCTGTACACTCCCACAGGGGTTTGCCTATAATGGGAGGTTGACTGTAAGCGGGGTGGGGTGGGCAGTGTCAGCTTCTCATCCCTGTCTCTCCCACTCATTGTTTTTTTTTTTTGTGGGCAGAGAAGAAGTTCTCAGGCCCCTAGGCAGGGTGACCAGCTCATCCCAGTGTGCCCGGAACTTTCCCAGGTTTAGCACTGAAAGTCCCACATCCTGGGAAACCCTTCGGTCCCAGGCTGACTGGGACAACTAGGATGGCTGGTCACCAGGGCTTTGCCCTTAGGGCATGCGGTTTCTAGCATTTTGTGAACTTGGTTATTTTCACTTCTTTTCAAATGCCTCCGATGCAGGCTTGGCACAAGAACACAGGGCCTGTGACATCAACCATTGTTAGGCAGACTCTCCAGGAGATACAGCAAGTACAGTATCGAGGCCTCTACATGATTCATTTGCGCCTGTGGAACTGGCACGAGGAGGAGCAGGAAGCCGGCTCTGGGCCAAGGCACCAGGCTTCCTCCACGCGCTGTCGGCATCGAGGCGGCCCCAGCTGCAGACGCAAATGGCCCCATCATCACGATGTCAGCAGGCGAGGCAGAAGGGTAGAGACGGAGCGCATGGGCTTGGCAGGCACATGCACCCGGGTTCTGGTCCCAGTGCAGACACCCTTTCCTTGCATGACCTCACTCCACGTTTCCTCATGTGCCAAGTGGGTGATGATCAATTCCTCCTTGTAGGTGGTTATGGGATGAACTGAGATAGTGTCTGTGAGGAAGTCAGGTTCAGAGCAGGATTCTACATCAGCTCTCTTCATCCCCCACGCCCCAGAAAACAAGGCCGCTGTGGAGAGTGGTGTGACGTGTCCTGAACGAGGGTGACTGGCCAAAGGGGCAGGAATGGGGCTGAAACCTAGTCTGCCTCATTTGCCAAGCCACACACCCTGGTGTGTGTCTGTCCTAAGAAGGAGACTTTGTACAATTTGTCCACCCAAAGGGGGCAGGCACCTTTCTAATTTATCTGTGCAGAGGGAGAGCCTTTACTATAATTTGTCTGCTCAGAGGAGGGCCTTTCTCAAATTTGCACAAAGGTGTGTTATATGTCAAGGGTGCCTCTGCCAGGTGACAAAATGTCTGTTCACTTTGTGCTCTGAGCTGGAACATGAAATGGCTGGGGGTTTGCTGCAGTTCTCCACCCCAGGCTGAGTTGGGTGAAGTGGCATTGTTCTGCAGGGGTCCCTGCGGCATGGCCTGTCTACCCCAGAGCAGGGGCCCGGCCACAGCAGGGGAGGCTAGAAATGGTTTGCTGCAGCAGACCTGGTCTCCCAAGGCCAGGGAGGGCGGGTCATCTCTACAGCCCTGTCCCTTTGGTAATAAGAATTCTGCCCAACAACTGGCTCAGGGAACAGAAACAGACCCCTCAGCTGGATCCCCATGTGTGTTCCCAGCTCACCTTGCCCATTGTGCTCACTGCACAGCGGCACCCTCTGCCCCCTGCCCCGCCCTGTGCACTCCAGCTGTGCCAGCCCTCGTCCTGTCCTATAGCCCCCAATCTCACCCAGCTGGCCCTCAAGGCCCAAGTCCTGGCACACTGTGCTCCCAAGCCCACCCGCCTTCTGGCCTCCAAGTCAGAGCCATGACCTCACCTGAGCCTTGCTGCCGGGGCCGGTGGCTGGGGGCGCGGCGGGGGCTGTGGCTGCGTCCTTCTGCAGCAGCTGGAGGCCCAGGCTGGAGAGCTCCTTCTTGATGCTCATCATGATGGCCGATTGGTTCTCATAGTGCTTCAGCTGCTCGCCGAAGTGGCGCATGCTCTCCCTCATCACTTGGTTCTCCTGGCTCAGGTTGGCCTTGATGCTCTGCGGGAGCAGGAGCAGAGGTCTTTCCAGCTTCTGCCATCAGGCTTTGTGGCCCATTCTCCTGAGCAGGGCCCAGGGGTGCGGGCATGGGGGGGCACCAGTGAGCAGGGGTGGAATATAGCATGCTGCTAAGAGACCTTGTAGTGACTAATTTTTTATTTAAAAAGTGAATGAATGAAAAAAATAGATAATATATGTTCGTAGTACTAAATTAAAAAGATACAAACGGGTATAAAAAATATATCTTCCTCCCACCTTTGTTTCTCAGTGCCCACAACTGTTATGGGTTTCTTTTATCTTTGTAATACTTTGCCTTTTCACTTGAGCCTATTTTGGGAACTCTTCTGTACCTATATACAGTGCCCGCCCCCCCCCCCCCGCCATTCCTTTTACTGGCCACAGAGTATCCCACTGTCTGGATGGGTGATAATGTAGTTAGCCCGTCCCTATAAATCCATATTTTAAGTTGCTACCAATCTTTTGCTACTTTAAATTTACCTTTTATTTTCACAAGTGATACATAAGTACCTTCTTTTAATAAAATGCTCAAACAATGAAACTCTGGGGTTTTGCCATGGGTGACACCCTGATCCCTCCTGGTCGCCAAGTCTCCGACTTCTCTCCGGGATAGTGTTGGGTCCTCCACAGCACTGAGCACCACCTTTACTTCCAGTATTGTGCTCCTCTCGGGACCGCCTCCATCTTACGGGGGACCCTGCCTGGCTTTAGCAGCCCCCAGCCACACCCTCACTGCCCCCCAGTCTACCCCTGGCTCTGAGTCCTGCTGGAAACAGATGGACTGCACAGAACTACCATGTTCCTCTCTGGGGATCCCCCAATCTAGGGATCCCCATTGCTGGGCTGTTGCCCAGGCTGGCCTTGTCCATTGGGCAGGACTCAGGAAAACTGAGTGGCCTGGTATCAGCCCCAGGTCCCCAAAGCCCCAGCAGGTCTGTGGTATGTGTGCAATTTCTTTATCTGAGTCTACTCAGCGGAAGCAGGAGAGACTAGAGGCAGATGCAGAAAGCACCTCTTTGCTGGGATGCCCTGGAGCATCAGAATCATGAGTTCAGAATTTCATGGATGTTAATTTTTACAAAGGAGAAGATAACCTAAAGGTGATTTATGTCCGGTCAGCCCTGGGTGAGCACAGAGTCAGGGACCAAGAAGCAGCAGGCAGGAGTCAGACTGAGCTGGGTTCAAAGTTTTGCTCTCTACTTCCTGGCTGGGTGACCTTGAGCTAGTGACTTTACCTCGCCGAGCCTCAGTTTCCTCGCCTGTAAAATGAGGATCTTGATCATAACAACAACTAAATATCAGGGTGACTGTGAGAACCAGAAAGGCTAAGGAACAAGAAAGTGCTTTCTAAACTAGATCACAGGGCAGAGAGAGGTCAAACTGTACAAGGCAGGTTTCTCCGCCTCAGCACTCCTGACATTTGCCAGGGGGTTGTGTGCTGTGGGGGATCCTGTGCATTGTAGGGTGTTTAGCAGCACCCCTGGCCTCGACCCACTAGAGGCCAACAGCATCCACCACTCATCTCCCCAAATTGTGACAACCAAAACTGTCTCCAGGTATTGCCAACTGTCTCCTAGGAGCCAAATCGCCTGTGGTTGAGAACATCTGGTGTAAGGGAAGAGAGCAGAGGGGGCCAGCTCCTCCCAGGTGAGGCTGTTATCTCCACCTCCTCCCAGGTTAGCAAAAAACTTTTTTTTTTTAAAGATTTTATTGGGGAATTGGGCAAGGGGGACAGCGCTGGGGAATCGAGGAAGGAGAACAGCAAGTTGCTGTCCTTTTGTCCTTCATTCTAGTTGTGGAGAATGTCGCTTCACTGGCCCATGTTGGTATTATCATTGCGCTCTTCCTAGCTG